CAGAGTACCGCGGCCAGATAGCACCGTAGCACTAAAAATATGCAAGAAAATGTGCAAAAACGCAAGATCGCATCGGCTCACCTGGTGCGTTCCAGCCTAGGTTTGAAAATGATCCAGCTTTCAACGAATAATTTTCCCGCCGGAAATTTAAGTACCCGTAAAAGAGAATCACGAGTAAATGCAGGCTGAATTTGAAACCTTTAAGTTGTATTTGGACGGGGAATATTCTCCTAAAATCTCAGCTTTCCAGCTTTTCTGGTTCCCGAGTTAGCAATTTTCCCGCCAAAATTTTCATAGGGCCGAACGTGACCTGGAGGCATGCCTGGGGGCTGGGCTTGGAATTTTTGCTTGGGGGCCTACATACAACGCAGGCTGGAAACATCCCTTTAAAATTTTAGCCTCTCAGCTTCCCTGGTTCCCAAGCTAGAGATTTTCGCGCCAGGAACCCTCATAGGGCTGTATGCGGGAGCTGCGCACACCTGGGGGCTGAATTTGAAAACTTTGAGTTATATATGGACGGAGAACATAACCTCAAAATTCCAGTTTTCTATCTTTTCTCGTCCCCGAGTTATTAATTTTCCCGCCAAAACTTTCCACTCCCTCGTACGCGAGGCCTAGAACTGTATGAGGGCGGTTCTGGGGTACCAACCCTCATGCAAATTTTGGTGTTGGAACTAACTTGGCTGCCGAGTTGAAATACCCGCACAGATGAACACACACACACACACACACACAAACATACACATACACACACACACAGGGTAGTCGCAGTATGCTTTTTTGCAATTTGCATATAGGCAAAAACGCATAAAAACTGACAGTCATGTAACTGGAGGTCCATGCTCTCCTGTAATGCAGCACCTTCATCCCAACCGACGCCCTTTCTACTTTATGCCGGAAGAGGCCAGAACACGGCCAATATGAGCTCAAGTTTTAAGCTACAGCACAGGAACCATTCCTGCTATTAGCGATTTGCGAGTTTAGTGCAAAAAAGCATGATCTCGCCGGAATCCTGGTGCGTTGCGGGTTAGAGATTTTATACGTTTTTGCTGTGCAGCGGTATAGCGCTGCTACAGCCAGCAAAAACGCATATTATCGAGAGGCTGC